GAGATCAAACCACTTCAACATTTAGGCCAAAAGCTAATCTAATTTTAAGGTCCCTTGAAATGTTATGAATATCATCAACAAACATGGCAAGAGTCACTCATGAAAATGCGTTTCAGTTTTGTGCACAAAAAAAAAAAAAAATCAATCAGCTCTCTGTCTCAAACCTCTTCAAAGACTTGAACCCAATTGTTTGTTCCCTGAGGACTCAAAGCTTTTACTGCAACTAGCAGTCACATCTGCTTAGTATTTCATATTTTTCAGCATCACAATGAGTTTTTCTTAGACCTTGGACTGGTTTACTCAGCATCTATGTGTAAGTACAACAACAAAATTCCAACAGAATAGATAACTGAGGCCTTCTGCCAGTTTGTTTCTACCTCTCTTCCCAAAAGACGCAGGCAATCCTGGCAAAAGGAGTATTCTTATATGAGTATTTTGCCAGCATAGCTAAATCTTTATGGGCTTCATTTTTTAACATTCCTCTTAGCGCTCACAGTTATGCCAGGAACTTTGCAATATAGATCTATACAGCTACACAAGAAAGCTTTGTTATTTTAAAGGCATTAGTAGTCAGCAGGTAATGTAAAAATATCCTTCACTGAGAACACTGTCTGTGTATCTATACTACCAGCACCACACTGCTGTCAGAATATTGGTATTACTTATACAAAAGTTCTCCTAAAATTAATGGAGCAACTTGGCAAGCCTGTGCTTTCTATCAGCATAGTTAAAACTATCCCTCAGACCTAAACCAACTAGTACTAACACATGCACAAGTTTACTGTGCACTATAACTGCTTCTATACTTGCACCTTTTGCTAATTCTGTCATGTTGATAAAATAAACCATTTTTCACAGTCCTTATCCAATTTAGCTGAGGGCATGAGTCTGTAATATAGACAAGGGCTTAATAGCTGGAGAGAGGGGCTTTTTACCTGTGTCTCTAGGTACTGCAAAGGCTTTAGCTAGCACAGATGTACTGCATCAGGGAAAAGAATAAATTGTATTTGCATACAACACTGCCATATCAATATAGCTGCAGAAGCTTTTAATGTCATATGTCTACATCATTATAAAAAACCCTAAACTGAGACAAAATTATCGCAATACTACATTTAAGTGCAGAACAACCGTTAGTATGGCTACATGGCAAATGTAGAACAACTGCAATTCTTGGTTTATAAAAAAACCTGTGGGCAAGTCCTTCATGCCTCATAAAACAAGACTTATTTTTGTGATGTAAATTGACTTAGTCTATGTTACCCAGACTCTATTACATACCTATGAGCCAATTATAGTCGAGACCACTCTTACCACTGGACAAAACCAGGCCCCCTGTAAGAAAGCTCTTTTAGTTCCCTTTCAACATGGAAGGAGAGAATTGCAATGCTAACATGCACACTGATTCAAGAGTGCAACGAGCTCTTACCCAAGGCCAGTGAGCAAAGGACTTACGGTACCAATCAATTCACTGTACATACTGATCCTCAGTTCATTAGCTCCTACCATCCTAACAGAACAAAGGCAAACAACAGTCACCTTCAGAATATGGTATGTAGGGAAATGACAGTCAGGTTTGCATTAAGTTATAGTTATGAGAGCTGCAGAGAGACCTGACACAAAAATGGATGGCCAAATGCATAGTCTATATTCCTGTAACTGTTGTTTGATTGATAATTTAAGGAGTCCTGGTAATGGATGAGATCACCAGCAAAGAACTTTAAATTTCAGGACAACACATAGGCCAAACAGTTCAGTATCACAGTATTGTGATGATTCCAGTGATATCAAGGGCACCATGTGTGTACTGATCTGCTTTATTCGCATCAGACAGGCACGATTTATGAAAGACATAATCTTCACGCATCTTGGCAGATGAGCCTGAGATGATGGCAGCAGCATCCAGAATGCTGAAAGGTGCTATAAGCACAACAGTGATAAGCCTTTCTGTTAATGAGGAACCATGCCTGGCTGGAGAGGCAGTAGATAGAACAGAATGTCCCGGTGACGTTCTGTGTCCCCTGGCAGTTTTCCCACACTTGCAATATGATCCTCCAAACATCAGTGCATGGATCATTGATCTTATGAACTCACATTTGTGATCCTCTGCAGAATTGTCATTGAGAATGTACAGCCCAGAGAACTTACTGGCAGAAAATCACTCTTGGGTGATCTTCAAAATTCAGAAATGGCCATTCAGATACAAAATATACATGTTGACAAGTGATTCCAACAATATACTAATTCAGATCCAGAATTAAATCCAGATCCTGACACAGTTACAGCAGCAATGGCAGACAGTGCGTTTAATGATATAATAGAAAAATGGTGGTTTGCTCCACGTGACTTGGCTTACTCAAGAGAGATATTTTACAATAAGCTACAGTTTTACTGTATTGTAAAGATAATCTGACAATTACAGGCCAAAGTATACTCGCTTATTGCTTTAAATGAAACTAAAAGCAGTAAAATTCATACAGATATGGAGGAAAGATTCATCAAGTATTACTACAGCTGTGGAGAAAACAAGCTATGCTGGGCAGATGCAGAAATTATGTCTGGACTGGAGATCTTACCAGAAAATGCAGTATATGTTCTCATCCAAAGCCTTCTCCTGCAGAGCACATACTCCTTAGACTTGTGTTTTTGTTCTCGAAGAACCCAAGCTAAAGCAATTTTGAGATACTTTGCACTGCTACTTACTTGTTTTGCACTTCAGATGTTTGTTTGCAGGCAGCTAGGAGGCCTGCACTGATTTTCTAAGGTTATTTAAATTCTTCTTTATTTGTTAACAAATTATGTTGGTTGCACAACACATTGGCATGTGAACACTTCAGAAAAAGGGAGGGGCACTACTCAGCCTCAGTGGAATTAGGAACAAGATCCAATGACTTCAGCAGAGTTACACAAAGGATAGCTCTATTGTTTCAGTGGGAGTTGTGGTTAATTAAAGTAGTATTTCCCATCAGCATTCTACATGCAGGACTCTCTTCAAAGGTGACATTACCTTCAAGATCTCTGTGTGGGCTTCCATTTCAGACAACGAATAACAAAACTTAGTGACAGATTTTCATAAAGTCTGGGCATATACTATTGTACTAAAAGCATGAAGAAAGGCACACAGTTCAGTGTGCTGAATCTGTGATGTTACAGTTGGAATTAAACCAATGCATTTTTAGATTCCATCCATTTTAACTGCTCTTTTGTTTTGTCTTTCATTGTAAAAAACATGCAACTAACTTGCTACAAATCAGTTATCTTTAAAACTTTAGAAAAGCCTGTGAAGTTTCTGTACAGATCAAGTATTAGCCATATTTTCCACACACAGTTACTCAATATGTACACTCTATTGTAATAATTGCTCAAACAGCTGCATATGCATTTGGAATATCTCTGTGTGTCAAATCTTTTTGAAAACCCTGGCCTACTCTTTTAACTTTATGGATCTCATCAAACAAAATCCTTCCTTATAATCTGAAGAAACCTTCTAAACTCTTTTTGTAAAATTTCAATTACATAATGCGAAACTGCAGAAATTCAGCGCATAGGTGAACGGAAGGTTATTTACATTGTATTCTGTCTGCACTAGTAGAAATATAAACCTATTAATGCTAACAGTAAAGCAGTAAACATTAAGATTTTGAAGCATACTGAAGTCTTTGAATTGTCTCCCTGTTTATCTGTTGAGTCCCAGTATTGGAGAATGATTTTTCCCTCTTCGAGTCTGTGGCAATTTAAATAATAAAACAGAGGTTATTTAAGTGCAGAGAATTATGGAAAAAATGTAAGTGGAAAGTATGTATTTCTAAAATGCACATGAATAACTCCAATGCATCTGAACTGACATTATTCAGAGTTTCCAGTCTTATTCAATACTGGATTGAAACCAAGCACAAGAAATTTCAGGCCCAAAGGACATTTTTAAGAAAATTATTAGTACCTATATTTCTAATTTAAAATGTCTGTCTGGGAAAGCTCTACAGCCTAAAGAAAGACTAACCTATCTTCTCATGGGATCAAACAAAAGGGATGTGAACTAATTAAGGGGACATTTGGATCAGCTTGCAAACATAGGGACTGATTCAGCCCCAAAGAGCACCCAAACCAGAAACCTGGATTCAAATATCTGTGGTCTTCTAGAGAAATATGGATGCAGATTCAGATCCAAATTTTACACTGAAAGTTCATTTCTAACCTGTGCAGACACAAGCTCTAGGCCCAGCTCTGCATTCCTTCCACACCCAGAATTGGAGTTCTGCCTGAATAAGGAATGCAAGAAAGAAATTAATTTCTTATCTTTATGGCAGATCTTGTTTGGTGATGTACATGCCCATGAACCTGCCAAAACTCAAATGTGTGACGTGGCATACAGTCTAGTCCCCAAACTGATATATTTCAAAAGATTACTCCTGTAGGACACTTAAAATAAGGTAAAACTATTTTCAGAAGCTTAAGTAGCTGCTCTTAACTCTAGTATATAAAGCTTCTCGGCATAACATTGCATGTCCATTATCTTCCAAAATCACAGGGTAGCATTATACATACAGATGCATATGGTAAAATCTTTCTATCACTCCAAAGAGACATGAACTTCACCCTGGCTTTTGGTAAGCTAAATGCAATTATGTTTCCTTCAGCTACCCATCCAAAAGTATTTCAAAATTTGCAGGGAGAAAGACCTTCCAAATGCATGAATGACAAAGAACTGTGGAAACAAGTCTCTTCACGTGTGGATCTCGGACTTTTTAAAACTTTCCCAGATTTTGCAATCAAACTTACACATGAAATGCCCACCAATGTTAGTTACAGGTGCTGCATTTTATGGTATGTCTATGAGAAAGTTGAAATCCTAGTGCAGACACAATTCCATCAGCATTTTTGTTAGTTTAAATTAATTTGGTCAAAAATGAGCAGAAATTGTACAAGAAAAATCTCTTTTTGCAAATACTAGATGTATCCACAACTGGTGAGTTTCTGACATAATTATTACATGCACCAACCTGTTGTGCTGTAGCTGTGGCCTTCCTGGATGTTTTTCTCGTTATTCTACCCCGAATAGTATGCAAAACTGTAGGATAAAGATGCCCTTCTGTGGTCAAAAAAGTGAAAAGGGGATATATTAAGGCAATTCATGTTGCATTTTGTTCAGACAAATATTTTCATAATAGCTGAGAAAATGATATGTTGAATAGAGTATCCTCTGGCAACTATTCTGTGAAAAATAAATGCTAGCTAAAATCAAGGGCTTTGGCTGCTTTAAGGCTTCCTAGACAAGATTAAATCAAAATATTTCCTATACACATTCCCTCTTTTCATCAGCATGTCAATTGTAGTAAGTAAGAATGTGCTACTAATTCTCAGCATCAAAATCTGGGATAATTTTATATAGTCAAATGTTTCCTTACTTTCACAGAAACAACTATTACCGGAAATATTTTCCAAAGCATGTTGCAAGTGGAGCTAAGTAAATCAGCTAGCACACCGCACACTTTTCAAGGAAAGAGTTTCTAAAAAAGAGTCAGGATTTAATAAAAAATGTCTCTGAGGCACGTAATTCATGCCCATAATAGAATATTTTTCAATTTTCAACCCTGTATAGAGAATTTTAAAATGCTAACAGATGTATGAAACAAAAAAGCAAAATTGTCCCTTATTCTTTGCTGTGCACACATATAGCACACATAGAAGCCAATGAGAGGCTCTAAAACATTTTCCACTAGAAAGACAATTTGCTCTCAAGTTCTTCTCCCTTTAAATTGTTTCTGTGGCAACACATCTGGTGCTATAATTCTGGGCCAGAACATTAACTATCCTGAAAGAAGAAAGTTATGTTGTTGTTCTGGTCTGCAAGAATGTGAAGCAGAGAGAGATCTGCAAATACATGCGATCAGGTAACCCTTTTTGCCTTCATAGGCGCATAGAACATTAGCTACCAGTATTTATGTATAGCTTAAAATTACAAGCTTAAAAATGTTTCTACAATGGCTAGAGAAAACTCTTGTGGTGAGTGCACGTCCTGTGAGCCAGCCTTTTTTAAACAAAATGACAAATGTTTTGTTACTACTGTTCCTACCATATGAAATAAGTGAGGAAAGTATTCAGGTAAGAGGAATAAAGTTAATTCCCTAATCACAGTTGTAACTCTTCCTACATAATGGAGAAAGATTTATATTGGTTTCTTATCGTCTCCCCAGTACTATGTAAACATTACTGTATTATCACCATTTTGTAGACGAGATATGTCAGGAGTGCATGCAGCCAAAATGTCTAAGTGTCTGTTAAATTCAGATGCCCCTATTATTCGTTACCCATTCTGAAACATGCAGCCCTTGGCTCTCTGAGCTCTTGAGGACCAATAGATTTCACTGGCCTTACCTGAAATTATAGGAACCTACTGATGTTTAATGTAAATCTTGAACATCCCAGCTTGAGCATGCCAGCATTCTCAGAATTTGTAGTCTGAACAGTTCAGTTGTAGAGAAAGGAAAGGAAAACAAGAATAAAAGCTTACTGCCCCAATTCAGTTTGCTAAGCCAATAAGTGAACGGGTTTTGATCACTAATAATCCTGACAAGTCAGTCTGAAATCTTAAAGTCATACTACATGACCATAATCCAACGAAAGTTATTATGGGTATTTTACTGTGCAACTGAGATTGATACCTCAAGATACAAACTCTACCATGGATCTTAATTCATGATACAAGGGCCAGGGCAATTTACAAGGGCTACTGCATTCACGTAACACAGCCTGGAGTAACAAGAGTTAAGAAAATAATGAAAGTGGATTTTTGCTACTCCATCAAGCAGATCAGCGATGAATTCATGGAAAGAACATATCTGACGAATAACAAAATATCCCTGAAACAGCTACTTTTCCAATAATAATTGCATTTTAAGTTCCCCACGAAACAAATTTTATTATTTAATTTGAAACAGCTACATTCAAATCTAGATCAGTTACATATACATTGGTTTGCTAACTACACCTGCAATACTTTCTGTATTAGTGACAAAGAAGACAAGATCGGTGTTCTGATCCTCTAAATTATTAACGATTGGCTGAAAACCAATTTTCTTCCCTAAAAAGTTGAATTCAATAAAAATTATGTTTTTCAGGCATTCTGTCTTTGAAGACATACTGGTTTAAAGCAATTTGTGCTCAGGGAGAATAAACTGGCAACAGAAATGGAAAAGTTGAAAAAAAGTGGATAAAAACTGGTATTTCATAAATATGTATGTCCCCTTTGTACTTCCGGAGGCACCATCTTACAGTCAGAATCAAACCCAGGACCCTGAGCACCTGTAGACATTAAAGGCCGGGTGATGTCCTTTGCAAGACTTGCTGTCTGTATAATTTTGGACTGTCACCAGCCAATCCCCTTTCAAAATCCACTGTTTTTTTGGCCATTAACAGGGGGTAATTCAACTCCGTCTGTTCCTTTTTTCTCAACCTTTTGGCTAAGATCGAGTGTGTATATTTAACTAACATTAAACCTACCATTTTACATAAAATATCTCCTTCACTTCCAATCCAGCCTTTCTATTTATTCCATCCAAATGGCATAGTTAACAAACCTTCTGAGACAGTTCTCACTCCCTTACTTTATCCTGTCTAACTTTCTATACAGAGAACCCATTTTGTCCTGATGCACTGTAACTCCACATTATCACTCCTCAAACCCCTGAGAAAGAGACACATTAAAATCGTAAATTTCCCCTCCCTGTAGAATGAGTCTTGTTTCCCTTTCTAGCCATAATGGCTCTTTTCCACTTCTTGTGTTCTTTATGAGGATATTGCAAAGGAATATTGGTGAAGGAATTATCTGTGGAAGGGAATAAAGTGATGTCGGAGGATCTGATACTGTAGGGTCCCAACTCCCTGCCTGGATCCCTCTTAAGAACCCAGGGCTAGAGTGAACATCGTAAAGCAACCGTCGGGCTGCTCTTTGTCTTGACAGAAGGAAATCATCTCATCTTTATAGCACCCCTTAGGGAATACCATTACATAACTCACTGTTTGGCCTATATTTCCCCATTCTTGGCTCCATGGTGTTAACAGAAACACCACTGCTTCACCGCACTTACTGACTGATTCAAGAACTGAGCACTACATAGGGATGCAGGACTTGTCATCTCAGTGAAGCTCTTTAATTCTTCTAAACAGTATCCAGACTCTAATCAGAGAAAAATTTTACCAACCTAGTCGTTCACTACCGTATCTCATGTGTTGTATCTCATACAAGTTTCTCTCTAGACCTGGGGCATAAAGGACACGGCCTGCTGTTCAGTAACAGCTCTGTCCCATTTTGGCCAGTTTCATGCAGGTTTTTCTGCACTACTACATGTGGTGCTTATGTCATTCACTCTGCAGAATTCAGAGTAGCAGCATGTAAGTGATCAACTGCATGAGAAATAAATACAACAGAGAAGTTTCTAATGCGCATGCTCCCATAGACACCACATCTTTCCCAGATGTATCTCTCCATTCAACATGAAATGTTCTCTCAGATACATTTTGCATTGTTTACTACCTTTACAAATTATCTTCCTCTGATTTTTTTTAATTAAGGTCTTTCCAAAAAGAATATGTAATGCCCCTTATTAATAGGTGTAGCTCCCATTTTACAGCTGTGAAAACACAGGTAGAGACGGATTAAGTCTTGATCCCAACAAAGGAAATGACTGAATCAGGAGTTTTGAGTACTGGTGCTGTACTCTGACTCTGGTTCAATACTCAAGAAATGGCTCAAGCAATATATAACTTTATTTTGCAAATTCCTTCAAGTTTCTCTGGTTGATGAAGAACTCAATCTCCATATGGCCCAACTTATTTAAAACACTTTTTAAAAGGGGAAATTAAACTCTGTCTGAAGCAAAATGTAACTGGGCTGTGACCCAAAACCTCAATTCGTATTTATGAGCAAATAAAATGTAATCTCTGCACAGACTAAAAGAGTTAAGTAAAGTATAACCAGCCTCTACAGTGACACCTCCAAAACGCAAATCCTGCAGGATGGCATAAACGTTGTCCTGCTCCTCTCACTTTTCCACCTGCTCCAGCCAGGCATTCACCTCCCAGGGGCTTCCTGCGTGTTGCCTGGTGTGAATGTGTTTAACTCTGGATAACAAACGACCGCACCTCTTTGCGCCGGTGCAGTCTCCGTGGGACTATCAGCATCCTTCGAAGCTTGCCTACTTACAGACGCCCGCAGATTCCTAAGGAGCCTGCCCCCCCATAGGTGACATGCCCGCCCTCTCGGTGCCCCGCAGCTCTCACCTACCGATGCGGTGCCGGTGCCTCCCCGTTGCCCCTCGCGTCTCGGACACCCGTCTCTCCGCCGGGTGCCCGAAGCGCCCCTGCCCCGTACCTCCCGCCGCCGGGCAGGCCGGGGGTCGCGGCCCGCGTTCCGCAGGCGCGCAGCGGGGCGGAACACCGCCGCTCCCCGCCCGGAGCCGGAGCCGGCAGCCCGCGCTCCCACGCCGGGACTCCCCGGTGGGATCCGCTCCGCGGTCCTCCGCGGCCAGGTGTTTCCTACCTGCCCTCTCGGCGGCGGGGCTCAGAGAGCGGCTCCGCACCGCTCCCGCGGCAGCGCGGAGAGGCCGAACCCGCCGGGAGGGCCCCGATAGCCGCCGCTTATCGCCGCTGCCCGTCACCCAGCTGGGCTCCGTTTCCAGGAAGCCGCGGCTCCGGAGCGCTTGTTGGCTGCTGGATGCCGCTCGCCCCGTCCCGCTCGCTGCCTCCCTCCCTCCCTCCCTCCTTCTCTCCTTTCCCTCCCTCCCTCCCTCCCTCCCTCCCTCCCTCCCTCCCTCCCTCCCTCCCTCCCTCCCTCCCTCCCTCCCTCCCTCCCTCCCTCCGACCCCCCTCATCCTGGCAGGGGGGCTGGGAAAGTGCAGCGCGGCCCCAGCACATGCCGAGCCTGCGGTCACGGCCCGGACCCGCTGCAGCTCGGCAGGGAGCGTCCCAGGCGCCCCCTTGCTTGTTCCAGCCGCTCTGCTCCGCGTCGCGGGGCAGTGACAAACCGGCTACCCACGCGGGGACACCCGCCCCTGCCCCCCCCCCACTCACCCCTTCACTTTTTCTCAGGCATTTTCTCCCGTGCCCAGGTTCTCTCCTTTCCCATCTTCCCCGTCCATTGCTCACTCCTCCTCTGCCCCTACCCCACGCTCCCTCTTCCCTATCCCTTTTAAGCCTCCCTTCTCTTACAACCCTCAGCCTTTCCCTAATGATCATCTTTCTCTTATTGCCTCCTCCCTCTTTCCATCCTACCCTCCCGTAGGTTTTATGTAATTTGTTGTGTCTTTCATCCTTGGTTAACCAAAGCCCGCTCCAAGCCCTTTCTGCTGCACCCACAACTGACCTCCTTGTTGCTTCTTCAGCCAGGTACTGTTCCTCGAGAATGAGCTCCCTCTTGCTAGCTTTTTAGACACCTTCCAGACAATCCTGGCAAAAAGATGTGAAATTGTGATGTAGAAAGCAGGCTGAAATTTTCCTCAGTTCCTTGCCTCGTCATACGAACCCACACAATCACACCTCTTGGCTTTTGAACAATGCCTTGCCAGGCCTTTTGTAAACACCAACACACAAACATGTTCCTGCCTTGGGCAGAGCACCTTGGGTTACGATATGTCTCATACCTCTTCCATTTTCCCCTATGTTTTTTAGCACCATTTCCCCATGAGGTTAGCATGCTGATTGACTGACAGCACAAGAAGCTAGACACTCCCCATGAGGAAAATGAGCTGACTGTATGGAATTTGGACATGCTCTTATGATAACCTTATTACTAATAGTGTTTTTTCCCCTTTTGACCATAATCAGTAACATCTAGGACACATACCAGACTCTTCCATCCTGTTTCAGGATGGAAAAACACAAACTAAAGTTCTCAAAGCACCAGATAACCAGAGATCTCATACAAGAACCTCTTAGGGCAGAGCTACGTTTTTCTTTTGCAATACTGTATGAAATTGATTGGGATTTGTCTTTTTCTGTGTGCATGCTTAAAGGAAAGTCTTGAAAGAGGCAAGGGAAGCTCTCTTGCACAGCTGAATATGTTTTTAAGAAGATGCATGAGGGAATTGACACACATCAAAGTGAAAGCAATAAGAGACAAAAACAGATGGGCGGGTGGAGTTGGCTGAGCAAACAACTCAAGCACTTTGGGGTTTATATATACTAGAAAGAACAGTGCTGAGATGCAAGTTGAAGTGGGTTTTATACCAGATCTTGAAACCGATTGGGGCTTGGAGTGCTGAAAAAGGCAGCGGTGATACACCATGGCAAAGCCTAGTGTTGGAGCTGGTGTACCTGGCAAGACAAAGCAAGGACACACAAGTAGATGGGTTTGTACAGGTAAGTACGTGACAGAATCTAACTGTAACGCTACTTACTATTCTCTTGATTTTCCTAGTATTTGGGGGTTTTATGATCAATCACACTGACTGCTTGAAGAATCCCCCCCTGGCAAGTATAACTGCAGCGGCTGAAGATGCAGCCAGCTACATGTCCTGCCTCTCTGCTCAGGTTTTCCAACCTCAGGGGACAGTCAGCAAAGCTGGACGTGTGCTCCAGCCCCAGGCCCAGCAGTGCCAGCGGGACCAGACCAGCTCACGCAGCACAGGACTACACACTACAACAGGGACTGGGAACAGCAGCAGCTGAACCACGGACACGTCTTCGCGTGCCAGCCCCGCAGCAGGGTGGAGCACAGAGGGGCTATTTTAAATCAACTTAACTGGATTTGCAGGAAGACATTTGTCAGAACACCAAATCTCTGCAAGAGCCCTATACAACCAGTTGACCAAGAAACCTTTACTGTTACTGTCATTTCCTCCTAAACATGAGACTTGTAA